TAATGATTTGTTTGGACATCGTGTTTGATTATTATCTTGATCAGATTTTTTTTTGGCCGATGTGATGCGGTTGTTTTTGTTTTTTTGGTTTGATTGTCAATACTTTTCGAGCCAGCTGCTTGAAATTGTGGTCGATAAAAAAGTAAATTTTAGTTTTTCACCCATGATGATGATGATGAAAACAAACATTTCTTTTCTCTCGATATAAAGATGATGATGATAATGATAATGTCCGTTTTGCATTTTCTGGAAATTATCTTCTTCAATTCAATTCATCTTTTTTTTCTGATTGGTGACGTTGATTCGATTCGATTCGCAAAATTCAATGAAAAAAAGGAGAAGAAAATATTCGATTCGATTCAAACCACCGATTATGATGATGATAATAATGATGATGATGATCGATTTTAAATTGAATTTTCTTGTTGTTGTTGTTGTTGTTGACAAGGTTTTTTTCCAAATCTATTTTGGAAATCACTTTATTGACATGAAAATGATCATTTCACATATATGCGATGATGATATTTGGATGACATGAAATTCTAATCAAAAATAATAATCTTCTTCTTCCTTATTCGCAGTCAATTTTTTTTCGGAGTATTTCGATGTTGACAAAATTTCATTTTTTCGACGAAAAACTAGGAAAATTTGAAATTCAATTTTCGAATCATAATCATCGAATCATCTTCGAATCATCAAAATCCAAATCGAACGATAATAAACATTCGAATTTGTCGGTGAGCGTAATAATCGTTCGATATATCGATCGATATAATCGATATTCAACAAGTTTTTTTGATTTGATCTGAATTTTTTTTTCCTTGTTTGTTATCAAATCAAATAAAATGTCACAATCAAAAATCAATCAATCAAATCGATTGAATCTCTATCTAACCAAATAATGTGATTAAACGAAAGATTATCTCCTTGTTGTTGTTCTTGTTGTGGTGGTGGTCTTTGAAACAAAAACAAAATTCATTCGAAATCCGAATCGATTTTTTTGTAATCGAAGAAAACAATCATCTACCATCATCATCATTATCAATCGGAACAAATAATCCCGAAAAAACCAAACCAAAATGATCATTATCATCATGACTTTCAGAAAATAACATCATTTCGAAACCAACAAAACAAAACAAAACAAACAAGAAAAATAGGTAATAGAAAAAATAAAATGGCCAATTCAATGATTCGACAGGTAAGATTATTATTATTATTTCGATGATGATCTTATTTTTTTTCTTCTTCAAACAAACAACAAGAAACATGAATTCAAACTCAAAATGTATCCGATTTTGTTGAACATCATCATCATTATCAGTTTATTTATTTATTTTCAGTATCATGACCTTTACAATTTTCAATTTTCTCTTTGAAATGATTGTTTTGTTTGGACGATGGCTCTTCACATTCAAAGATTCGAATGTTTGTTTCGGATTCGAACGTTTTTCAGATTCGAACGTTTTCTTCGGATTCGAACGACAACAACAACAACTGACATGATTGTGTGGCCAAAGAAAAACCAGAAATTTTTCAACTTTTTTGTTGTTGTTGTTGTTGTTCAACCCGAATACAATTGAACAACAACAACAACAACAACAACAATGTTTTTTTTTTGATGTGTTTTTGATCATCATCTTTTACATCGAATGAATCTTTAAACATTTTACAGAAAGAATTCATTACAAATGTAAAGATGATGATGATGACATTGAACATACAATGATAAGATTATCATCAAAATATCATCAATTTGTTGTTGTTGTTGTGAATAGTGGGTGGATATTCAAAAATCAAACAACAACAACAATTTCAACAACAACAAGTGTTTTTTTATCCAAAAGAAAAACCAATCTTTGTCAAACAAACAATCAAACAAGAATAAATGGTCAAGGACAATATTTTGATTTTTGGATGATATGATTTTCGTATTCAAAAATCATATTGTCATTCATCAAAAATATAATGTCTTTTTGAACATTTGTATCCCTTTTCAAAAACAAAACAAAGCAGAAATAAAAAAATTATCAATGGTCATCATCATTATTCAATGATGATGATGACCATTGTTGTTGTTTAGGAATATTTTAGCACACTATACACGTATATAGGTAATCCATTTAGGTTGTTTTCATCATCATCATCATCATCATCATCGTTATTAAGGTTAGATCAACTTGACCTACGATCACGAATATTTTTTTTATTTCAATCAAATTAACCTTTGTCCTCAAAACAACAACAAATTTTACAGGTAAGTTTTTTCTGTTTATTTTCTCTCTCTTTCTCTCCTTTTCAGATAATAAAAGAGAAATGTATCTACCTGTATGATTATGTGTTTATATTTATCAACAACAAGAAAAAAACGAAAAATCACCGGATATATTCAATTTGTCGTCCATTATTGATTGATATCGGTTGTGTGTGTTTGTGTTTGTGTTTGTGTTTAAAGAGAAAAGATCCAAAATAAAACATCCAAACAAATATTTAATAGAAAAAAAAACACAGAGTGTAACACAATGGATGATGTTTTTCTCTATTGATTTTCTGCTGTTGTTGTTTGCATTTTGAGTGAGAGAAAGCAATCCATTCAATGACCATTATCATCATTATCATTATAATAATAATAATAATGGTGATTTGAATTGAGATAACAAAAAAAAAATGATTTCTAAAAATGTAATGACCATATCCGGCATAATGGTAGTGGTATTAGTGGTGGTGGTAGTGGTTATTTGAAAAGGTTGTGATTTTGTTTTTTTTTTTTGGCGCCAAGGCGGAGTTGGGCGCCAGATTTTTTTTTCCTGTTGAAAAGAGACAACAACAACAACAAGTTAGAGGATTTTTATTATTGTTGAGAATAAAGTTAGTTTGAAGAGAGAACAATTGAACAGAAAATCTAAGTCATCATCCTTCAATTCATTTAGTTTGAAATCGGCCAACTGAAAGATTCAAGTTTGGTCAACCAAACAACAAACAACAATATCATCATTAACAGGTAGAGTGCAGGCCATTCACATTCATCAAAAAAAAAAGTAAAAGAATTTTTTATTTGCCATTTAAAAAAACTGGATGTTTGTATTGTGTGTGTGTTGTGTGACAGTGACTGTGAATTGAAAAAAAAAATCAGATTGTCAAATCTTATTGTCAAACAGCCTACCTACCTACCTACCTGTTCTTTTACCTGTGCTCAACATTTTTGTGTGTGTGTGTTTGGTGACAAAATTCTGGTTTTTTTTTACTTCTTTGTTGTTATGTTCTTTTTAAACAATAAACGAACGAAAACAACGACGACAACAACAATAATGATAAAATGGTGGTGCATATGCGGTGGGGTATAAAGATCAACATTGTCAATTGAATCCTGTTGTTTTTGCTTTTCATCATCATCATTGTCTTAATTAGATAAAAGAATTTTGCTAAAAGTTATTTCTGCTTGTAAAATCAATCATCATCAACACTGTATAATTTTCTATTTTCTGATGTGATTAGATAATAATAATCATAAAAAAAAACTTTCCATTCCAACGCAATAATAATGATGATAATAATGATGATTCTTTGTAATTTCTCTATTTAAACCAACAATGGTACTTGTAAGATAAAAAAAAAGTAATTTGCAAGATTCTCAAGAAACCAAAAAAAAGACCAACCTGAAAAAGATTTAAATGACATTCGTTTATTTAAGGTTCTTCTTCTTTTCTTTTCTTAACCTAAATCTAATTACAATTTTCACCAAAAAAAAAAACTGATTGAATCAATTTGATTCTGCCAAAACTTTGACTGACTGATTTTAACCAAAAAAATCAGTCAGATTCACACCCGATACACAACAATCCTTTGTGAATCTGAACGCCAACAACGAAAGAAAACAACTGAAGAAAATTTTATCTGCAACCCAAATCGACCTGAAAAAAAAGTATTATCTTCAGCCAACAAAATGAGAATGTAAGTTATTGAAACAAGAAAAAAAATTTAAATTGAAATTTTGATTTACAATCGAGAAAACACCAGCAACAGCAATAACAGCAACACGATAATGTTTATTTTATTGAAATGAAATCAATGATGATTTTATCATCGATTTCAAATTGTATGTGGCTGAAATTGTTTATTATTATTATTATTGTGTAATTATCCTTGTAAATATCCATTTGGATGTATCATCATTCAGTGAAACACGGAAAGACTGTTTGATGATGATCATGATGTCTTTTCATTCATCAAATCCACTATGATGATGATGTTGATGATGATGATCTTTAATTATCTCACCATTTCTTTCTTAGTTTCAAAAAAGAAAAATGTGATGAACATCATCATCATCATCATATTTATAATAATCAACTTTTTTTTCCTTCACTATTCACTTCTTCATTCTTCTTCTTTCAGTTTTGATTCATTTCATTTATAATAATAATTCGGGTTTTTTACTTATCTATTTTTACCGAGTTGCAAAAAAAAAACACGAATTTCTTTTGGGATTTTCCTTCATCCATCCATCTATCTATCTATCTAGTCATCCATCTTGGTCTTGTTCAATGATGTTTACGGATTGATAGATAATTATGGCTATATAATGAAAATAGAAAAATAAGCAGAAGAATGTATGTTTGTGTGTTTTTTAGACATCATCTTTAAGATTTTCCTATCCGTTCGTTTGTTGTTTCGACAAGAAATGATGTTATGAAAGAAAAAAATAGAAGCGTTGAATCTTTCTGAATGCTGAGATAGAGATGTTCGGGGTTATCTGCTGTGTTGTTGTTGTTGATTACATAATAATGATGACCACCGTCCATCGAGCATATGACTCGTTATAAGATCGTGTTTTCGGTGTTGTCTTTCGAGTTTAAAATTAAAAAAATGAAATGAAATTATTGAACAGCAATTTTTGTTGTTGTTGTTGTTTTCCAGTGATGATGATTATTATCATTCAAAAATGACCGAAAGGCCATCATCAATATCATCCGGTATTTTTTTTGAAAAAAATGAAATTTTCATATGAAAAAAAATGACTGCCAATTTTGATTTGGATAAGAAAATTTGATTATGATAGATAGATTGAACATCAATACACGCACACAACAACAAAAAACAGAAATTTTCTTCTTAATTCATTTCCGATATTTCAAAGAAAATTTCAGATTTTTTTTCGTTGAAAACCTTATTATTATTATTACTGCAACATCCTTGTCTTTGGCGAGTGGTAATAATCATCATCATTTTTTATAAATAAAATTTGTTTTATCCTTGTTGTTGTTGTTGTTGTTGATATGACAAAACAAAACAAAACAGAAAAAAAATAACCCCATTATCCCGGAAATTTCACATGGGGTTATTGTTGGATGTTTTTTTTTTGTTGTTTCCATAATAATGATGATGTCGATGATGAAACAAAACGCTGGTCAAATCGACGTTGACCTAACCTGATTGGATAACAATAGAATTTTGAAATTTGGTCAGTTTTTTTTGGGCGATTCAAAACAAAACAAAATTTGTATCCATTGTCCAGTGTTTGTTTTGTTTGTTTGTTGGGCAATATCATCAGTACAGAAAAAAAAACATCCGAAACAAATATTGACTTTCCCCGTTTAAAAAAATTGTTTGTTTGTTTTTCGTTTTCGATACATTTTCATTCATTCATTTAATATGCAGTGAAAAAGAAAACTCTTTTTCGAAAGGTGTTAATGCAAATAACCTGTGTTTGTTTTCATTTAAATAAATAATGATTATTATGCATAAAAACTTTCTTTATTTTCCACATGCAAACACACACACACACCTACACCTACGTTTGTTTTTTAACACACAAAATCCAGGTATCATCCATCACGGAAAAAAAATGTCTTTGTTGTTTTCCCCTTCTTCTTCCTTTAATACCTTTGATAATTAACCTATTAATGAAACTTTTTCTTTTTCTTTCATATGACAGTTATACAATCGATGAAAAGACGATGATCAAATCATCATCATCATCGTCGTCTAGTCACCTTAATAATAATAATCCTTTACAATCCACACATCAAAATGGTTTTAATTCAACATTGATGATGACGAAACAACAGCCATTGTCATCATCATCAACAACGTTAGATCAATCATCATCATCGATTTCAAATTCAATAACAAAAGTTAAATCAAAATTTGAAAATAATGGTGGCGGTGATGCAAATGTTTCACGTGTTAATATACCGATTGTATTCAATAAAAATCGTGGCCAAATTTCAATGTATAGATTTATTAATACAAAGGGTAAAAAAATGAATAAAAATCAAAATGGTGGTGGTGGTGGTTTTAACCGCAATAATTTTAATCATCATCATCAACATTATTTTGATGATAGTAATGATTATGATGGTGGTATAACAAGGCCATCATCAATAACATTTTCATCATCATCATCATCATCAAAAGCAACAACAGCAGCAGCAATAAAATATGTAATTAATAATCATAATTTTTATAAAAAACGTATATCAGCTATTGATAAAATACAAGAAGAATTACGTGAAATGAAATTAAGAGAAGATGAACTTAAGTAAGTTTTATAATAACTTTTTTTTGTAGTTACATAATACGTGATTGATAATAATCTTTAATTAACTTTTTTTGTTTTTCTGTTCTTTGTTTACCACCACCATCACTATCATTAACAATTTCGGTCAAGATGTCAACGTATCCGCAGTATTGGTATATCATATCCAAATTTAAATTCAATTTGTGATGATGATTATTCAACAAGTGATGATCAAACAAGTGAAGATAATAAAGATTCATTTCATAGTCGTTGTAGTAGTAATCCAGATTTATTAAATGGTAATCATTTAAATAATCATAATAATAATCATTCATCATCACCATCACCTTCATCAACATCATCATCATCATCATCATCATATACGATTGCTATTGTTGATATAAACAATACTAATAACAGTAATAATAATAGTACAATAACATCATCAACAACAACATTATCATCGGATACATCTGATTCATTGTTGAATGATTGTGTAAGTTTTTTGTTTTTGTTTTCGCTTTGATTTTTTCACATTTTGAAACATAATTTTTCAAATAACAGGGATTAAAAATTGGTGGTCCACGTCGTAAAATACCATTGATTGCAATTTGGGAACAAAAAATTAATGAATGTCAAACAAATGGTGATACAATAACAACAACAACAACAACGGCAACAACGAATAATCAAAACATCAAAGATCAATGATAATTTGCTGTGAGAAAAAAAAATCGATTCATTTTATTCATCATATTCATATATAGCCTAAAGGCCATTATTGTTTTAATCAATCGATCAATCAATCAAAAACAGAAAAAATCTGCTGAAAAAAAGACAATATGATTGATACCTGATTTATGTCAAAAGTCATTTGCAAAAAATTCAACATTTATGATAATGATAAACAAGTTTTTTTTCGGCTGTATATTATCATTTTGTTTTTTTGGACACTTCTTATTATTTTTTTCGTTCTTGTTTCAATCGTTGTTACTGTTATGTTAATGCAGTGAAGAAAAAGAAAAGAAAACTTTTTCATTATTCATCCAGATAGTTCATTATCATCATCATCATCATTATCATCGCCTTTTAATTGTAAGGTGTTTTTGTTATATTTTTCTTCTTCTTCTGTTGTTGTTGTTTTCGGTTGGTATATAAATTATTAAAAGACATGACCTGAATCTAATTTGTTTTTCTCTAATCTGTTTTTCCATATAGATAATGGCCTCTGTTTTTTTCGTTTTTTGTTCTTTTTTTTTCATGACATTATCGCATCACAAATTAACTTACTTTTTGGATAGATAGATGATGTGTGTGTGTGTGTGTGTGTTGTTAATTTTGGATGGATTGTTTGCATTCATTCATTTTTTTAGCGACAAACAACAGTTCGACATTTATTTATTTAGATTCAACTTTTTTTGTTTTGTTATATGCCAAACAACAACCACCACCAAAAAAAATGAATGAATGAAACATGCACCGAAGAGATTTATTATCATTATCATCGTCATCAACAACGAATGGAATTCTTAATTTTTATGAAATGGAATTGCTATAATTGAATTAATGTTTTCGCTTTTTGTTTGTTTGTTTCCACCATTATTGTTATCCATTTTTTTTCTACTGTTATTTTTGGGTTTCTTTAAACAAAACAAAAAAAATCTAAAATTGAATAAAAAGAAATTTTTTTTTTGAATTTACAAAGCCAAAAGTTTTAATTTCATTCACTATATTTTATCTTTTCTTTATTTAGATCTAGTTTAGATTATTATTATTATGGTTTTGAAATTGACAAAAAAAAAATTTTTTTTGAATGAAAAAGTTTCGAAACATTGTGTGGTTGGATGACATACATGATAATTTTTTTTCACTTTGCTAGGATAATTTAATTTAATTTATAAAGGTAGTTTGCGGTTTGTAATTTTGGCAAATTTTTGTTTTTTCGAAATTGATTCAAAAGAACTTTTTTGATCATTTGGTAATGTTATTATTGGAATCGATATCGATCGTATAAGTTGATTTTGAATTCAAACATTTTTGTTGTTGTTGTTGTTTTCGTTCCCGGTTATTCACTTGTTTTTCTTTCGATAAACGAATATCCGATGATGATGATGATGGTGTGGTCATCATCATCATCATTGTTTGATTAGTTTTACGTAAGCCACTGCCACCAAGATTATTATTGATTCTTGATGGACATGATGAAATCGATTGTATCGATGATTTTTGATGATTATTATTCTGAAACCAATGATTAATCTTTATACGTAAATGTTTTTTCCTGTTACTATTTATTAATTTTATCTGATTTAAATAATCTCCTTGTGTTAATTTTGTTGTTGTTGTTGTTGAAACATCATTATCATCCATATGAATACATTCGTTGTTATTATTATTATCATTGGAATTATTATTGATCATCAAATCATCAACATCCTCATTGTTGTTGTTGTTGTTATTCACAGCGATTGTTTTTTCTTTTGTTGTTGTTGTTGTTGTTTTTATCATTGTTGATTGTTGACCATTTCTTTGTAATCTTACTGTTCTTATTGTTTGTTGTTTTTGTTGTTGTTCAAAATCTAAATCCATTTGCAGATGTTTTTGTTGTTGTTGTTGTTGTTGATGTTCAATTAATCTTTGCTCGGTATTATGATTCCATAGATAGTTCTGTTTACTGTCAAAGCAAAAAAACAAAGAAAAGGAAAAAACCATATGGTAAACAATGATGATTTATGTAAACATCCTTTTTTTTCTAAAAAAACAGATATTATCCATTTTGACATACAGTTTAAGCCATTTTTGTTGATAACCAACAATTGAACCAGGACGACAAATACGAATCCAAGCAATTGCTTCCATTGCTGTAAAATGCCAATGTTTCATTAGATAACAGGCAATCATTGTTCCGGTACGACCTAAACCAGCTATGGATGGATGATCGGTGATATTTAATAAATGTCAAAAAAATTGTAAATGTTAAAAAGTCAAATGTCAAATGTTTTAAGCAAAATCCAATCCAAAATACCTTTACAATGTACAGCAATAGCACCGGTAGTTGTTTCAACAATATGTAAAAATTGATCAACAATATAATCATCCGGTACACCACCATCAATAAATATAAGATTATAATGTTGAAAACCTTTATCGGTAAACATTTTCGAATCATAATGACTTTTATTCAAACGTATAATGGTTTGAATATTATTTTTACGAAAATAATTCAGATATAATTTTATATAATGATTTGTTGTATGATCAGAATATGTTTGTGGATCACAGAATGCTAAAAATTTCCCGGGTACAATCCAATTTAGATCACCATTTTCAACTTTTTCATAAAATAAATATTCATTTAGATTAAATCTATCCATATTTAGTATTTCGGTGATTGATGCCTAGATAGATCAATAGATCAATAATTACTGTTTTTATAATGATATTTAACACTTGATTATCACTGTACCTTATAAATGGCCATAAAACAATCATCCAAATGTAGATAATATTCACTTGTATCAAAACCAGCATCAACAAATGATGTAAATGTTTTATATGCTAAATAACTAATGCTTAATTGTTTAAGACGTGCCATTATATCATCCGGTAGTAGGTGATGATAAATTATCTAAAACAACAAGAAAAAACAAAAACAGAAACAAATTTTGTTCATTATTCATTGAAAAATGCTTTTGTTTTTTTGGTGGGCGAGATAAATTTTTTGTTTTCAAAAACAACATACACAATAAGATCCAATCAGATAAGCAGAATTGACTCGTTTAAAACGATTGGTGGTTGTCAAATGAATAATCGTTTTGTTTCGCTTTGTTTTTCGGGAAAGGAAAAGAGGAAAATCAAAACAGAAAAAAACATTGAAAACATTGAAAACATTGATCAAACGTCATGTTATTTTGAATTCATTCAACAACAACAACAACCTACCTGTAAATGTGAATTTATTTTCTTACAATATCTATACAACATTGCCAAATTTAATGGACCAAAATCATGATTAAATCTACAAGTGATGATTTGATTGTCAAATGAATTTTTTTTCAGAAAACAAAATGAATTGATGTAGCACTTACGGTGTATACAAAAGTTCTTTATCAAAATGAAGAAAACTAACATTGGAATCGGATTTTTTTAGAAAAAAATTTAAATTCATTTCCGAAACGGTAACGAAATAAAGTCGATTCGTGAGAAATTCACTAAAATGTAATGATCGTTCTTTAACCATATCCAATATGGTTGGAAGATTTTTTATTGACGATGATGATGATGATGATCGTCGACATGTTGTTGTTGTCGAAGAATGACGAGTCATTATTGGACGTAATATTGATGATGATGATGATGATATGGACATGATGATAATTATCTTGTCATTCAATCAATTTCCTGAAGGAAGATGATCTTTTTTTTCGGGAACGAAGAAACAATCGATGGAAAAAATAACCAGAAAACCAAAAACCAAAACATGGAACACGCCTAATGAAAATAATGTCAACATTGTTGACTCTCAAGTTGGAGCCATATATGTTTCGCTGCTACTGCTGCTGCTGCTGCTGCTGTCCGAGAAATTCGTTCTGAAAATACTCTGCTTCTACGGTAGCGGTGAATTGAATTGAAACGCCTGTATTTTACAGAATTTGTCCTTTTTGTCGATTTGGTTTTTCATTCTTCAAACAACCAATGGGGATATTATATAGCGAGAATGAAAAAAAAAAATCCAAATTGAATCGACTCATGATTCGATGATTTTTCGACCATTCTTATTCAATATATTCTGGCTGGTTCAGTTTGGTAAAACTGTTTGGTTTTGATATAGCAAATCGATTGTAAGATTTTTTATTTTTCCGAAGATGCTAAAAATGAATTTCCGAAACGTGAAGCACCATCTTTTGAACGAAGAAGAAAAAATTAAATTCCAAGAAAGCGATTGTGGCACCATCTTTTGTTTTCAGATTTCATTTCTTTTTTCAAAACACAAAATAAGCACCATCTATTGATATTCAGAACAAAATCAATTTATAAAATTAAACAAATCTGTCGATAGATGGCAGGCTAGGTATCGTTAATTTTTAAAAATTTGAATTTTAAAAAAATGTATTACAAAGATAAAACCAAAAGACAAATGATATTTACAACAACTACTACACCGGGTGATCATTATCAGCAGAATAATAATAATAATGATTATTTGATAGCGTCAATAATCATTCATTGGATTTCAAGATAATATTACATTTTTGGTAAAATCGTAAACAACAAATAATAGAGATGTTCAGAATGAAAAATTATTCACATTTCTAACATATATATTTGATGAATGAATGAATGATGATAAAGATATGTTTAGTGCAAAAAAAACAAAAGAAAAAACATTAAAATTTATCCATTACAAATGAATTTGAAAAAAGAAAAATATCGAATACAGAATTATTACAAAGAATATATTTACATTATTGATGAGATTGATGATATTTTTTTGGAGTAAAGGGGAGAGAGGGGTTGACAACAAAGCTTTGTAATAACGACAAGAATAACAAAGAATAAAAAAGAAAAAATTCTCTGTCTGTCTGTGTGTTTGTTTGTAAAATACGATATTTTTTCTTTTTTGCTTTCTTTATTTATAATTAATAATAATCACATTACAAAAAAAAAATATAAATATGCAAGTCTTCGAGTATGTTCATGTCGTTTTTCTGTTTTGTTTTGTTTGGTGATTAACCAGAAAAAAACAAAACAAAAAAACAATCGGCATTATCATCATCATCATCATCATAATCAAGATCAGGGATGTTTACTATTTTTTTTTACTGAAAGTTTTTTTCATCGATTACATTACTCTTTCCTTCATTCTCTGATATTTTGTCATCATCAAAACATCATGAACATCAACAACAACATTGTCTTTTACTTGGTTGAATCTAGCGAAAAACACAAAGAATTATTATTCGATGACAAAAAACAAAGAAACAGAATGATAATGATAATGATGATGATAGAAACATAATTTTATTCGGTTTTTTCTTCTTCTCTTAGTTTGGTTGGTTAAGACTTTTGTTTTGTTTTTTTTCTGTTTTCTTGTTGTCCACTTGAATCTTTTCTCATTTTTCTTTTGCATTTTTTTTATATAATTCGACTTATGATGATGCGGATGATGATGAAAAAAAATAAGAAAAAATTATTATAAATATAGGATCTATATTTGAGAGAAAAAAAGCATCTCCAAACAAAATAAATGAATATGAAAAGAATCCAAGTAGGGTAAGGAAAAGAATCCAAGTGGGGGAAGGAAAAGGAGAGAGAGAGGGAGGAGAGAGAGAATAAAAATGAAAAAAAACTCAAAGAAGAATAAGAAAAAAAAAAGAATTATGAAGAATCCCAATGACGATGATTCGAGGATTTTTTTTTTGTTTTTTTCTCGTTATTTCTCCATTTCATTTTGGAATGGAATTATACTTATTCATTTTTTTTTTGTTTTTCTCATCATATATAAATGAAATTGAACATATCAACAGCAAACAAACAAACAAACAAACATCTAAAAAGAGAGAAATAGATAGGGAAAGAAGCTTCAATTCCAGAAGAAAGATGACGACAGGGAGAGAATTGGGCAAAAAAAAAATGAAATGGAGAATTATAACAAATCATCGACAAGCAAGCAAGCCAGCCAACTAACTAACAACTAACTACAACTAAAGGCAAAGTAAAAAATACATACATATCGCACACACAGAATATATATAGAGAAAGATGGAGAGCGAGAATAAAAAAAAAGTAATAAATTATAAATTCCACTTTTGGCTGAATCTTCTTCTTCGTTTCGTTCGTTTCATTTTCATGTTTAGTCTTTTTTTGTTTGTTGGATCGTTTTCTCTCTCTCTCTCTCTGCAAGTGTGTTTGTTTGTTCCATCATCATCATTTGATACATATGTTTGAGAGAATAGAAGAGGGGGTGATGCAGAATAAAAAAAAGTATAAAAAATATAGAAAGAAAGAAATTGGAAATGAAATGAAAACTAGTGAAATAGCATCGATATTAGTAATAATATTTTGGATGATGATGATCCAAAAAAAACATAATGGCAATTATTCAAAGTGTGTAATGTGTATCGACAACAAAGTTTTTGGTTTAGTTTTTGTTGTTTTTCATTTTCATTCATTATATTTCATTCTCTCTCTCTCTCTCTCTCTCTCTCTCTCTCTCTCTCTCTCTATGTATGTTGCAAAAAGATGTTTTCATCATCAGATGAATGATGATGTGATGATGATCATAGAAAACAAACGAAAAAGATAATCATAATGAAAAAAAAAATGTATAATATTTTTCTGGATATTGAAACTTATTTGTTTCATCATCATCATCATTATTATTATTAATATGGCAGGCAAGAAAAAAAAACTTGAAATTCCAAAGCCAAACATTTTTGTTTTTTCAATTGGATTCTTCAAACACACGAATTTAATCACATACATATAGCAGGAGGCCATATTATACATTCTTTTATTCATTTTTTTTCTGTTCTGTTCTGTTTTGTTTGTCGATTGAATGTTTGGCAATTATCGATTGGAAACTAATAACGAAAACAACAACAAAAAAAAAACAACAAAAAATGAAAGTGAAAATGCAAACGACAACAACATACCGAATTTCGATTCAAGACCAGTTCCATTCCATTTTTTTTTTTTTTGATAGGATTTGAAGAATGAGAACCAAGAGAAACGAAAATTTGAATATTCTTCTTTCGATTCTTTTGAAAGCTTTTTTTTGATAAATAAATAAATGACAAGGATCACTATATATCGTTTGTTTGTTTGTTTTGGGGCATCGATTTTGATTCATGCATTTGGTTGGTTGAAAGAATAAAAAACAACGAAATGATGATCCTCATGAGATTCTAACAAACAAACAAATGCGAGGGTGTATAGAATTCTTCTTTGCGTTGTTGTTGTTGTTGTTGTTTTCATATTGATAACAAGGATTTATGATGATGATGATGATGAAACAAACAAAGAATGAATTTCATTTCATTTTTTTAGTTTTGCCTGTTTTTATCACATAACCAGAAAACCAGAAGCATAATTCGGGATTTTTTTCTGGTTTGAAAATTTTTTTTTGTAAACAAAGAATCTTGATGAATGAAATGAATACGTTTTTGGATTAATTCATTCGTTCGGTTTAAAGTTGTTGTTGTTGTTGTTTATCTCAATTCATTATTATAATTTATTGTCGAGGGATCATCATCATCGATGCCTGATCGATTGATGATTACTATCAAATCAAACATAGTAGTAGCAGCAGAAGTAAAAATAGTCGGCGATTTCAAGATCTTGTAGTTTTGTTTTTTTCAAATAGTAAACAACAACAACAACAAGATTACATCATCCAAAACGCGTGCCACATCCATTGGTCATCATTATTTTCAGCAATGTTTTTTGTTGTTGTTTTTCTTCAATACATCATCATCATGAATACATTTGGTTCAAACTAGAAAAAAAACATGGAAAAAGAAGAAAAAATCTAGAAATCAATATGGAATGAGAGTGAATCCTCTGATGGCCATTGGTCATCGAGAATTTTTCTTTTTATACAAACAAATCGAGAATTCGTTGTTTGCTTTTGCCAACTGCAGTAGAATTGTATTGTTAACGATGATGATGAAAACAAAGCAAAAAAACAAAATCGAAATCGAAAAAAAAACGAAATAAATCTCGGAAAATGGAACAAAAAAAAATGTGATCCAAAAACAAACAAAAACATTCGATTCTATTTTTCATTCATAATGAATGAAAGAGTGTGGGTGGAAATAGTTTTTTTGATGGAAATGTTTTTCGGAAACCTTATAGATGTTGGATGAAGAAATTTTCCGAGAAATCTTCACAACGGAAACTCAAACAACAACAAAGAATCTTGAAATTTTACTGAAAATTCAGTGAAAAATTAAAAGGATTTTTTCCTTTTTTATAATGAATTTCACATTGGAAACATATGATCATTCGATCGAATCAAATCGTTCCTTTGGGTATATTTTTATTCACCAAAAAAAAATCAAATGGATTTTTAATCGATAAGGTCGTTCTTGTTTTTGTTTGTATAAATGTGAATAGTAGAAACAAAGATTCTTTCAACCTGAACAAATTTTCGTAATTCAGAATTCGGGAAAATAAACGGATTGGGATTTAATATTTGTGATCGAAAAACAGAGGAAAAAACTAATCTTCAAATTGAAATTCATTGATGATAATCGATTTTCCACCACCATCACCACCACCACCACCACCACCCTGGACTTTGTTTTGTCAAAAACTTTTGTTAAATGTTTGCAAAATAACTTTTATTTGGTCAATATTTTTTTCTTTGACCATAAAGAGT